CACGCAGCCGCTCGCTCACTCCCCCGCAGTGGGATGGGGGAAACAATCGGAAGGGTAAAAGTGAGAAAACTTGTGGGTTGAGATAAAGACAGTTTGATAGGTAAAGCAAAATATACACATGCAAGCAAAGCAAAACAAGGAATTAATTCACTCCTTCCCATGGGCAGGCAGGTGTTCAGCCATCTCCAGGAAAGCAGGGCTCCATCACGCGTAACGGTTACTTGGGAAGACAAACGCCATCACTCCAAACGTCCCCCCCTTCCTTCTTCTTCCCCCAGCTTTATATGCTGAGCATGACATCATATGGTGTGGAATATCCCTTTGGCCAGTTTGGGTCAGCTGTCCCGGCTGTGCCCCCTCCCAGCTTCTTGTGCACCTGCAGCCTTCTCAGTCTAGAGAAGAGCATGGGAAGCTGACAAGTCCTTGACTAGTAAACACTACTTAGCAACAACTAAAACATCGGTGTGTTATCAACATTGTTCTCACCCTAAATCCAAAACACAGCACTGTACCAGCTACTAGGAAGGAAATTAACTCTATCCCTGCCGAAACCAGGACAGTTTTTTAAATACAGTCTGTGTTTAAGGCCCTGTTTACTTAGTAATATTTGGAATTAGAAATCTACAAACAAAGTGTACAATGTATCAGTACTGTGGTAAAATTCTAAAAATATTATTTGTTATTTAAGTATCTGCAGAGTAGAAATAGACTATTAGTTCAAACAGATGAAAAAAGTAAATGAATGAAAACAAGATGAAACTTTTAACATGCTTGATTTATTGCTTCCCAAGTATTTCAGACTTGGCAACGGGTTTTTTTGATTACTTGGGTTGTCTTTTGTATAAGTGCAAGCACATATGAACATATCAGGGATTGCATAAATGACAGTAGAATCAGAACTCAACTTTGTGAAATGGCTAAATAGGGAATGGCCGACATTGACATGGTGGTTTCATTACAGTGAACTGTAATGATCCCCAGGTTACACAGCTCAAAACCACAAAACTAACCTAGCAAAACAATGAGATAAGTATTAAGAAGTCACAAACCTACTGAAAATAAATGCTTTTCTGTTTTTTTTTAAAAGCAGTACTGCACCTTTATATTTTGTACTAGAAAAATTTTGGAAGCTGCAACAGATGTAAGAAACATTCTTGACACTTAAAAAATAGTTTTTCTACTAATATCAATGAAGACAGAAGTATTTATAACTTTATATAAATGGAATGTATACCAAGTAGTCTTAAAGTAGTTACAATGCATTGCAATTGTTTTATTATAACAAATAAATTCACTTAGACTGTTTATGTAACTTGCAAAGGAAGTGTTTTGACTTGCACTAACAGAATTCTGTCTGAAAATATATTTTATAATATCAGTTTACAAAAAAAATAGATCTTGAATCATTTTGAATAATGACTTTCCCACTGTTTCTGCAGTTTATTTATGCACCAACGGGAGAGGAACAAACAGCTACAACAGCTGGCAAAATGGTATCCTAAGACACATAGATACAGAAGCAAAAATAATCCATTCTAAAATAATTAGACTGAAATGGTTCTACTGAAAATTAGTGGCATCTCTTTCACGTAGATATATAAATCTTTGTACAAATGCATAAATGTGTACAGGACAGCAAAAAAGTTTCCAGCTGATGAAAACTTGGAATATAAAATTTCTGTTTAATCAGGGCTGCTGTGAAGCTGTTTCATGAAGTATGCTACCACTTACTAAATTAGTTAAAATTGGATTTGCTAATTTTTACTAACATGAAAGTTGCGTTCAAATGCTTTCTTTGTTCCCGTTTTAATACATCTTAGTTTCTCCTCAAGAAATTATTCCTTTCCAAATCCTAGTTTGTTCCTAATATGTTCAAAAAAGATTTTTATAATGGGTTGGGAATGTAGATGCATTAATTTCATGTCCCTTTATGACTCTGTATTAGTATGAAAAAAGTCCAAAGAGAAGCAAATGGTGAAGTTAAGGCATTTCAGCCTTTTAATGACTTTATAAACCACGCTCACCTGCTACCACTTGAAATCCGTAAGCAAGAGCACTTCATTGATACACACAGAGGGTGCAGATGGGAGTAGGGGAGGAAGGTTTGGCAGACTGCATGGATTTCATTTCCTAAACAAAGACAATTACAGTGTGTACGTTTTGGGCAGAGAAGTTTAGGGTTGGTTTGTTTGTTTTTCCTTCACCACTAAGTATTTGTAGCCCTCTCTTAGGAGAACAGACTTACACAAACATGATGTCCGCACATGCATTGGTGTAGATAGGTTAGTATAATAAACCTTCTCCCCATCACTTTTTGCCATATTTAGCATAAATGTATATAAATCCAAACATAAGAAAGTTCTTTCTGAGGAGAAAGACTCTATAATCTGGACTAACTCCTTAGCTGATACAGCCGTCTTTGTTGATGCCTTCACTCCGAGGAAACTTCTGTGGGGCGTTCCAGTTGTCCATATACAAATCAAGTACTTCTCATAAATTAGGTTTACTTACTGAAGAGTGAGGAACTATTTACTTTGCTTCCTTTCTCATTGTTTTAAAGGCACTGCCTTGTGACTGGTCAGCAGAGAGCTGCCCAGGAGTCACAGCTTTTCTCGGATACCTGTATTGCAATCTGTAGGTAGAGCCAGGGGGGTGGTAGGGAGAGGCAAGACTAGTTACAGTAGCCCTTCCAGTAAGAGTTTTCCTAGTTCAGGGAACACAAGTGATGGGACCGGGAAACATTGTGTTATGGTTAAGGATCGATGAAAGAAAAGACATTGGCAGAGAGGTTTATGGAGACCCCAAAAACAAAGAACGGGAGAGGCTGATGAAGAAAACAGTGGTGCCCTTGTGAGAAGAGAAGGGTGGGACGAAGAGAAAGCCGTTTCCAAGGTATTCCACATGAAGAAGCAGGCTGCTGCACTTTCTCGGGGTGGGGGGGACCACAAAGGTACGGTGTAGCTCTATGAAGAGTAGACGCTGTAGGCCTGAAAAGGTTTTTGGTCTGGGAACAGAAGATATCTTAAGAAGAGTCTTAAACTTTAGAGCCCTTCAGTTAAATTCTGAAAACACATAGCTTTTCAATAGTGCGCGTGCATCTGGCAGTTGCAGGAAACTACAAGTTCCTAGACTTTGCAGATAGCCTCTAGAATCATGTTTAACATTTTAGCAAATGTAGGATGTACGCTCGTTTTCCTGGAAGGCTCTGACCTTCTCTTGCAATTCCTGATAAGGAACTATACCAAGTCTTCAGTATGCATATTTATGTACAATCGCTTGCTTTGGAGCCAAATCTTGCCACAAAAAAAACGCAACAAACCCTACGTCTTAAAGGACACACTAAGTGTGACTTGCATCTCAAATTGTGTATGACATCTCACATTAGTCATCATTTCTTCATTCTAAAGCCGTAACTTCACCTGTTGCCCTCATTTTTAGAGAATGTTTCCTTCTATAATATTTTCATACCTGTCCTGACTCCGAACTTACTGGAGTGGCTGCTAACGCTGCTTTTTATTTCAACCCAGGAAGCCTCATCCAGGAGCAACAGTGATGGCTATCTTGGATAAAGGCGCTGGCTTTTTCTCATGCCATTTTCTCTCCACGTTCTATAAAATATCTTAATAGCAAGGAAATGCTCCCTGGCTGTTAATGAGGAAATAAATCCTGCCAGCATCTTTCATGGCATCTTAGTCAGTGTGTCCCCTTGGGAAGCTTTCAGCGGTCCAAACTGTGTGAACTCTGGTTAAAGAGGGGCAAAGACCACCTCAAGGTTTTCCTGAAAAGAGCATTAAAAATAACAGGCTAAGAACCTTGTTCTGTTTCTCTCTTAGTTTTGTACTTTAGGGAGGTAGTTCTAGGCTAAAAAGTAGGAGATTCATATAGGTACTTAAGTTCAGTAGTTTTACAGAAGTCAGCAAAACTAGGAACTTAAGGCCTCATCTAGTCGGTCAGTCTGCTTTAAGGGGGATGAAATACACTTCGTCTGTGGTCTCCCAGCAAGATAGTGTCACAGAAGTGAAACTTAGCTGGTATTTGCTGTGACTCCTGCCCAGAACTAATTCTGAGTTTTGATCAGCTATATACAAAGAGGGGGAAGGTGTATGTAGATGGATGAAGGGTATGGGAAGATAAGGAGGTAAAAGAAAATTGACATATTTTAACCAACTCTAGTCTAAACATTTTTTTTTTCTTTTTTTCTTAGCGTAGACTCAGGTTAAGATGTGTTTAGTTGGAATACAGATGGCTAAAGTTGACTGCTTGGTGTCTCTGAGTTTTACTACTTTTGGGTAGACTGCAACAATTTTAATCTCTGGAGGGAAAAAACGATTGCGTTGGCCAAAATGCGTAGCCTAATTTTGACCTAAACAGAGGAGTTTTCCTTTGGAAAATAAAATCCTGTGCGACCAGGGGCTCAGTCTGTTATGACAATCAGTTGTATGGCCTAACAGTCCTTAGTGCCTGCACAAGTATGTACAAGTAACGTGGCTGTAAAATATACCTCAGCAGTTTGAGGAAACGCAACTGTGGCAGGTTTTGCTGTTTTCTTATGCAAAAGAGTGAATGCAGGTGGGATGAAACTCTGAAACAGAACGAGAGAATAGGAAAGTCGTGCAAGCAAGCATGACAACACGTGGTAGAGATAGTAATAGGGACAGCATGTTTTTTCACCAAAAAGCATTTCCATAAATGAAAATAGTAAGCAGGAATAAACATAGTCTTTTCTCTACCAAAGAGCAAGTTGGGCAGGATGGAACTGTTACAGAAGTAATTTGTATTGAAGCAACTGCTTATTACAGAAATGAATTACCACATAGCTTCAAAGCAGTCATCAGATTTTGACCAAAATGTATCTATTGCTCTCTGGGATGGAAACGAGAAATTACCAGAAGAAGTAACAACTCAAAAGGGGGCGGTCAGACAGGATACAGAAACAAGGTCTGCCACTGGGACGCCTGCTGTCCTCCACTGATGACAGAGGGAAGTCCAGACATGTATCAGAGGGCAAAAGTCATCATTTACTGTCCAACTCACACACACAGTGCAAAAATAATTTATAGTTTATTACTCCTGTGAGAAAAGTATTCAGGAACAGATAAATTCATGTTTAGAACCAAAAGTAACAGAATTACCCAGTAACACTTAAACCCCATACATATTCATACACAAGCTTATATGCTGCACATTGTCATAATTATGAAGTTGAAAATTTACTAAATACAGAAGTATTTGCAATTCTCTTTCCTAGTAGGTAAAATGACAATATATATTGATGGGATTTATGGTGTGCATATATATATATATATCAGAGGATATACATATGCACACCAAGTATATATTTATATTAAAACAGGAGTACATTGCCATACCAGTGCCAGTTGGAGACAGCTGAAGGGGTACTGGGTATGTGAGGATTCACTGTCACTTTGTAGAAGCCGTATTTTCCCAATCAATTCCCAGCTCTATCGTGAAAGTGCACTGCAGCATTACCCAGAGACAGCTGCTGTTACTCCATTCTGGAAGCACGGTGCTTTCCAATTACTACATGTGGAAGCAACACGATTTGACAGGTTCTTGTTTGCAGAAATCTTAACAGCTGACATCCAACCCAGTGACGGGAAGGATCTGGACTAGATCACAGAAAGTTGAAATACTTCATATTCTTACTGTACACCAGCAAATCCAGGCACTTAAAGCTATCAGTATTTTTATTCTCAACTGTTCTAGAACTATAGGTGAAAGCTTATCTTTATTAAAATCAAGAACAAACTTTCCATAGACCTCAGTAGGATAGGACATCATCTTACATTCTAACAGTACTGTATTTTAATGAATCCAGGAATTTTAAATGTTTGGCAAAGTGCATACTTTAAGAGAACCATTCAGATATTTATAATAGCTTGACTGAACTTCAGAGTCAACATATGATAAATTCTCTACAAGATAAAGGCACAATATTTACAGGTACTCTTACCACTGCAGCTTTAAATAAGATAAACTAAATAACCACTACCATCTTTTAAATTAAACCGTTGAGAATTATAGTAATAATCTTTCATAAAAAAGTAGATATGCTTGAGCATTTAGTACTCTTGATTCCGGAACCGTCTGAACATGGGCATCACTGACATACACCCACTGTCCTCCTGATGCTCCCATGGCTTCTTTTAAACCTGAAATGCAAAAGCAAAAGAAGTTATTTCTTGTCTTTCACGTCGTTATCAAACAAATGCAGTGTATATTTCAAAAAGCAAGAGAAGCTTCTAACCCACAAGAATAACTCATGACTTAGATGAAGTCCAGTATTTCTAGTTTGAAATTTACATGTCAAAGAGTACTGTAAGAGAAATTGGTGGAAGACAATGCTTACGCATGTACACTGCTATTGCTTTTTTCATATTTTTTCAAAAAGCCTAAGACATTTCAAGTACAGCTTACTGAGTTCTAACAGTAAGTTACACTAGCACACAATCAGTTCTGACACAGAAAAGAAATCATATTTCAAAAGCTGACCAGTGTGAAATTCAGAGTGCACAGAAGATCTTATCTGTTCTAATAATCATTGCAAGGGAAGCATAAGGCTGAGGGAGACTTCCGTTTCAAAAACAATGTAAAAAATTGTCCTTCTGGGAAATAAGCTTCAAATGCAAAGTGATACTACACAGGATAGACAGGATAGTGCTTGGTTCTCACTCCCCCCACGAAGGGAAACAGTAAATATTTACCTTACTCTGACAACTCAACATTCTCGCCTCCGCAAATCATTTGCCAACAGATACTATCCTAGAATCTTATTTCATTCTGCATATCCAAAACATATTAATAAGAACTAGTGTGCTGTTCTCAAAATACCAACAGAAACCCTACAGCAAACCTCCTATCCTCCATGAAGAGCTTCTTGCTGTTCACATTAAACCAGAGTATTCCAGATTTTTAAGCATTAAAAAATTTCCAATCCTAAGATAGGTAAAATACTCAAATACACGGAAAATTTAATTTAAATTGCCATGGATTCGGCTTTTGTACCAGAACATTTTAAAGTACCAAATATGCCAAATAATTACATTTTACCGGGCACAACTATTCATCTGGACATATTATTTTGACTAGGAAAGAGAGGAGAGTTTTCCATCAATTCGCTGTTTAATAACTGAACCAAAATTCCATTATTCACTGAGCTCTATGTGGGGTTAATACAGAAGTAGGTCATGTACTGGGTGCAACAGAAGAAAAAAGAACTGATTTATGTCGCCCTAAAAATAACAGAATATTCTGAGCTAAAACAATTATTTACTATAAATACCCTTAAGGATAAGGAGCTGCAGCCAGTGGTTGCTTTTGGTTTTACTCACAGACAGAGGAGGCTCTGTTTGTACGTACCCAGAACATTTTTAGTGGTAGAGATATGCTCTAGTAATTTCTTGGAGGGTGTCCTGACTTTCACATACGCCGCATAGTGACCACCTCTCATTGACCCACTGTGCTCCACTATTCCGTAAAGACTATATAGCACTCTTGCACCATCTGTAACATTCTGCATTCCCAGAAACGCAGAAAACAAAGATAAATTATTTCACGATTAATTTTACAGGTATCTTAACTAGCTGTCAACAGTATTACTTTAAAGGAAGCAAACAGACATCTACAGCATTTCCAAAGGTGAAATACATCTATTAAAAATACTCAATAGTCTATTAATTGAATTTAGTTACCATGGAAGCAGCAATACTTGTCCTTAATGCTGGAAGATACACTAACACCATCAGGGCACCATAGCTTAACTAATACTGATTAATATCTGTGAAATTCTTGATATGAATGGAATTTCAATTAGTTACAATTCTGATCTCGAGATACTATTTGAAAACATTCACTCTATAATTTCTCTAGGAAAGGAGGGAATAATAAACATCATCATCAATCCAGTTTAACTTGTGCTCAGGACAACAACTGTTGAAGTACAATAAAAATAAAGATTTGAAACGTGTACCTTGCAAGATGCAGAACAAAATGGTGCTAAGTCTAAAATCAGAGGGAAATCCACGTGCCTATTTACTTTCCGTAGACTCAAACCAGCCTCCAAAGGAAAAGAAAAAAAAAGGCTGTAAAATAAATATTTTTACTAGGAAGCTTTTTAAAGCTAAGGTGTATTACTATACTATTAAAATAAACCAAAACCAAGAATAAGATTGTAACGGATTTTAAAATTCTTTGTTATGTTTTCAATACAGTGCCTGCTACACATAAGCATGATGGACACGTAAGAGGTTTCCCTGGATACATCTGAATGGCTAAATGCACTCTGAAGGTATTAGACAGTCAAAAAAACATAAGCGTGTTTCAAATAGTGGTTCAACCAGTTCTCCATTTAAAAAGCAAATATCGGTATGCACAATGACACTTAAAGAATTGCTTGTCCACCAGCGGGGCAGAGGAATATACAAGAGGGTTTTGGCCTTTTACCTGGTGGAATCTTTTCAGATGGAGAATAAGAATAGCAGGGACTGAAGAAATCAGCAGCTGTTTCCGAGCATTTGTGTAGACGCCTTCCATTTTCTTTTCTGTATTTATGAATATCAAAATAATTTGTAAAGTGAAGGCAGTCACACAGAATTTAAGCATTTTTTAAACATCTGACAGAATAGATCTATGCTGCAATGATTTTGTACATGTTATATAAAATGCAAGGCAAATTTTGTGGAGTAACAGAAAAATATTTTCTCATTTTTCTAGTTTTTAGTAAGCATAATCTGCCAAATCTGAGCATTATTTTAGCCCGTCCTGTGCAAATCAGATCAAAAGTTGGAAGCGTGTACACTATCTAGGTCAGCTTGCACACTGAGATACCTACATTGTCTGTTACTATAGCACCCAACTTTCCTGCTAAAACCATTTCACCTGAAATAAATGGATGATCACTGGAACAAGAAACGGAAGGCACAGGTCTCTCTATCCATACTAATGTCCTAACCACTAAGACAGAGATTAATTTTCCATTCTTCAGTTCTTTCTGAATGACTCCTACTTTGTGCTTATTTAAGAGAACGGTTTGAGCAGGGGTGTCTACTTCAGGATGCCTCATGCTGGCTTGAGCACACAGGATTGGGATACGTGGACTCCAGTCCCCCTGTGGTACAGAGGGAATTGAACCCGGGGGTCTTACCAAAAGTAGCTCAGTGGTTAGCTATACAGTAAAAGGGAACATGCCACCAGCATTTTTTTTTGCTGAAAAAAGTAATTAATTTACTGGTTTTTACACATGCCTGAAGGAAAATATTTCATTTGTGGTAGAATGAAGCATTTCATGTAAAAGTAGGTGACTTCTTAAATCTTTTGATTTAGAAGGAAAAAATAATGATTAGTTGTGAACTCATTTCCCTTTTCCATTTTTCACTGTGCCCATGGCACCAAAATATTATTTATATAGCACTTATTCTCAGTCCAATAATGATAAATGAATGATTATAAAATATTATTTTTAGATTATTTTTCTGAATTTACTCATGCTTAACTTGTATCTCTCCAGATATCTATAAATGCACAGCAAACGGGCAATTTTTTGTTACTGTAAGATCTCCCTTTATATTTTATTTACAAACAATCAGAAGAGCTTAATTTTTTTAACCTTCTGAATTACTATACATCAAAAAGAATCCTCCAGTCCTTTTTAAAAATTTATTTTTCATTATATTTAAATTGTTTTTCTTACTCAATGAACCCTAACCGTCTGCTCGGGCTATACAAACATTGAGGAAAACACTGTCACAAGAAGGTAGTTCTCTCTCATCTCCACTCTTACAAATCTTTGTAAGTTTTTTTTCCGTCTTTATTACAAGTGTCTTTTTTGCCCCTCTTACATACTTAATTTCATTACTTCCCTGAGTATGTAAGTTGCTAGAGCTGAATATTGCAGCATTTATTTCAAAGCTTCTAGGATTGTAAAGAACAGAAACAGCAGCAAAGATTAATATCGAACAATGAGCCTATTCAGTTTATGGTCATCTTTAAGTTACTTATCTTGGATAAAATAAAGAAAAGATGCAAAATAAATTCTAAGTTACATCTACGATTATGTTCTAATACAAAAATTTAGTGTTGTTGCCTTCGCAGGGTGAAGTTTTAAGTTGGTACAAGCAACTTCTGCTTGAGGAGACGTTTTCTATTTAGCCACAAGGGGGAGGCCCATGCTGGAGCAATGAAACGGCAGCGAGTGCACAGGTTTTGAGAGGCAATTTTGTAGGGTCCAGGCAGATACAAGCACTTTACCTGTGGAGTTGCATTTCTTCTGATACTTCTGTTTCCTTTCTGTGCAGCTCTCACATAAAAGCTTGTTGTTCCCCATTAGGAGCTCTACAGAGGTGAACTGGTAAAGGCAGGACTGAACAGAACATTCCTTTGAGCTAGTTACGTAGCTTTGGGAAAGCGTCTGGAAAGCATTTTGAGGGTTTTGGGATAGCGGGGATTTGTCTACTGAGAACACGGAATTATTCAATAAACCTAATGCTGGATCCCCACGGCCCAATTTTTTATCTTCATTTATAGTACCACAGAGGCTGAGTTTGGATATGGCACTGGAAATCATCTCATCGTTACTGTCACTTGGTTTGTTGTGCGGCATTTTGACATTTATGTGGTTGACGTGCAAACCAGATGTGTTGCTGGACGGGCTGAAAGCTGTTTGCTTAGAAGCACTTTCGCTTTCTGAGGCTTCACTGTCTGCATCAAAGCTGCTTTCAGAGCGGCTGGCTTCCTTCTCACTGCCGTCCGTCTGACTTCCATTTACAGCGGAGTCGGCAGTTGTGTCTTTGGAGTACAGGACATCAGAGCTACCTTCCAGCTCGAGCTTTTTGTTTTTTTCCTGCATGATAACAGGACTTTTTTCTTCTTCATTAGAGGAAGCTTTTCTGGTAAGCCGTCTCTCCTGGTTCAATTGATTCTGTAAATTATGGCATTATTATTTCAGTAATATAGGGGAGAAAAAGAAAACAGATCTGTGATCTAATAACATATCTTTTGAAACGTGACAAATTCAAAGCAAATTAAACCTATCATTTTATATTCTCCATCTCTCACGTGTTTAAGCTAGTTGATCTCCTTAAGATCTTTTTAAACCAGTTTAGGATTAGAAACCTACACCCCAGTCAGCTAAGAGCATTATACTTACTGTGAGATCAATACTTCCCACAACTAATGACGTTAACTTTGTGACAGCTGTGGATGGCACATTTGAAGCGGTATTCACTTAATCTAACTTAAGCTTCTAAACGGTTCTCAAGTTTAAGCTAGTCCCCTAGCCTCCCATCAGAGGCCTTAGATGATGAGCAGCTCCAGAAGAAAATTCAGCTCACCTTGTAGGCATCTGTCTTAGAATTAAATAAAGCATCCCTAGTTGTATGTTTGCTAATTTGTATATTATCTGAAGTTGATTTTTTTTTTTATCAAGATTGCAAGAAGGAAAAAAAGTTTGCTGCCACAGAAAACTACTATAGATTAAAAAATAAAAACCCAAAAACTTAGAGCTGCCATAATTTTAAGTGATTTATAAGTGTTCATGATTCTTTTCTTTCGTTTGGCTTCTTTCCAAAAGAAATAAGCAAATTTCCTTCCCTTTTGCTTTTTCCTTTATCTGAGTTGGATCAAAATTCCAGTGATGCCAGCGGGAATCCTTCGATCAGCCTCAACAGTTTGAGTTTTAGGCCTTTTCTCCTGTAACAGTGTCTGCACCTTCTGCCTTCCATTCTTTCCTTTGTTTCTACCACATGTCCTTTTGCTACTTCTGTCTCATTCTCTTCTCCTATCAGTTTTTTATATGGCTATTCTGGTTTATTTTTTCTTCACATGTATTTAGTGCGTTAGGACCTGTTTCAGGAGAGTATTTATGGTGCCCAAGAGGGCACAGAGCCTTCCAGTAGGGCTCACTCAGACACGAGGTAAAAGAATCTAAAATTGTCATGACCTCATAACCTATAGAATAGGCACATTCCTAAAATAAGGCTCGAAATTCCCTGAGTGTCAGGAGCCCTGCACTTGCACCTTCCACTTCCTGGCATTAATAAGAAAATACCTTTTAAACACACAAACAAAGTGACACACAGCACGAGTTAAGATCGCATCAGTGCTTCCACAGAACAAACCACAGAAACTAACTTTCACACGTGGCTTCCATAACAGGGAACCTAAGTGGAGGGAAATACCCTTCTGCACACCTGGTCATGTGCCTAAGCTGCAGCGAAGGTGTAATTTTAGACACGGCTTTCTGTTTAGTATTTCCTACAGAGTATCTTTAGGTAGCGTCACATTTGGTAGAGAGGGTTTCTGGACTGTTTTTGTTTTGGATTCCACTCCAGGTCATGGGTACCAAAATGTTAGGCAGTACAGGTAACTGCCTAAGTTGCAGGCACTGAACTTTGTTCAGCCTATCCCTTAAATATATACCATAGACTCAATTAATGAAGAATCCTCAAACACATATTCAGTTTTAAACTTTAAGCAAGAGCTTAAGTCCAAATGAAGTCCGTGTGAAAGACAAAAATATTCCTGAATAGTTTCTTAAACAGGGTTTAAACCTACACTAAATGTACGACTTCCTAATTCCAGTCCTTAAACTTAAAAGCAAGTGAACAGTTTAGCAAAAAAAAAGAATAAAATCTCAATAAAAATGATTAGAAACCCCCCAAACTGTTTTCCATTAGGACCATTTCTGGTCTCAGTTAAGCTTGCTTGCTTTGTAAATAGAGACGAGGGAGAGGAACTTGTCTGAAATTACTGCTAGTGTTCAGGGGTATTATGCAAACAGCAGTCAAAAAATTCTTAAAATTGTGAAGTTCCCATTTCAGGAGAAAAGCCTAACAACCAGTGTTCGGGTACTTTGTTGCCTACAAGACCACCCACGGGACACCCCCCATTTTCACAAGCAAACTTACAAACTGATGAACTGAAGTCACAGAACGTCAACAAACACTGATTGAATTCAACAGTTGTTTGGTTTGCATTAGAAGTTTTGCTGCACAACAGATAAATTACACTGAAAATCACTCAAAAAAAGTCTAAAATAATGATAAATACATGTCTGAAAAGATGGAGGGGAAGCAGAGAATCACAAAGCCTCACCAATTAGACAGACACGCTTCTTGGGTCACTATCCATTCGTATCAAAAGCAGAGTTATCACTTCCTTTGTATTAGTGTGTCTAGTCTAGTTTATTGAAATCCATACTATATTTTCTTAATTTTGAAAACGTTTCAGTAATCGTGTTTCATGTATCCGTATTAACACTATTATTAAGATCCTAACTGGCCACCTAACCCTATATGGATGATAAGGCTTATTAGAAAAAGGATGTTAATAATGACAGTATATGACATATAATGACATTATATGACAATAATGACAATGAGAGCCTTTGTCACGTTGCATTAACAATAATATATGTGCACAGTAATTACTACAGATTTCTTTTAATCTGTAAACACTAATACATACGAATAACCAATTCTGTTAGGCTGGCATATTTGCAGAACCCTTTTGCTACCATCAGAAAGAACTGTTTCAGGAGGCTGCACTGGAGACGGGCTGAACCGAGCTCCGCAGCCCTCGGGCTGCTGAAGGCCAAGCGGATCACGGAAACGGTGCTCTCAGTCTCCAGGAGCCTCTGCTGGCTGTACTATTTTTGTTGTACCCGCTGCCAGCTAATCCCTCGGGTGGCACTAATGCAGACTTGCCTGCTCTCTTAGCCAGCATTACGGTTCTTGTGATTGCAACCAGAAACAAACTACGAGGACACCAAAAGAAAAGCAGTCAACAAAACCAAGGGCAACATGAATTGCAACTAACTTGCAGATTATTTTTTTTCCCTTACAAACGAAATCCTGTAACTGAAAACTAAATGGTTCCCAATGACTGTCATTTCCCACGCTTCTAATAATGACCTAACTATTTTAAAACAAGTCTATCTCGGCTACATGTATAAAAAAAAACCCCCACTGACAGGTGTCAAAGTTCCCAGCCCTGTAACTCTAGAAACTTCAGAATAAACTCAAGATGACTGGTTAGTGCAAGTACTTAAGTTCTTACCTTGTCTTTTGTTAAAGCGTGTTTCTTGACAATTTTGGGTTGATTATTCAGTGTAGTGATAGAAGAACAGTTATACTGACCAAGATCTGCCTCTTGTACACTTTTACCTTTACCTGTTCTTCCCAAAGGCACAGGTTTTGCAACCTAAGAAATTAGACAGGAAATTAGGAAAGGAAATATGCCAATTTTGTATTCCTTTGCAACCTACAGAAAAGATGAATGTAGGTGGGGTTTTTCTTTTACTTTAGAAAATAGTCACCTACATAAATCCAAGTAACTGGCCCCTGAATTGTGGTATAAGACTACTTTCTAATTTTACTTATCATAAACTCACTGTCAACATCTTTGAAAGATCAACCGAGACCCACAAGAAACAGGCATGATACAAAATTCCTGTTCAGAATACATACCAAATAATCTATTCTAGTATTGTATAAGCACGTGCACAGCTGTACGAGATGTGAATTTATCAAAGGGGACACAGCCCCCCATCAGTCAGCCTCTGGTGCAGCCTACCACCTTATGACGTGATGAAGGAGCTGCCGCACATCCCCCATCACATGAATGGCAGCAGCATATCTAGACTATAAAGGAAAGAGACGACCATAAGGTAACACACGTCCTCAAGTAAGTGCAGCGATTGCTAAAAGCCACCACATCTCTCTCTCAAAGAGAACCCATGAAGTTCCCATGTTACACATGTGAGCCAGGAAGCACACGGGGCCCAAATACGCAAAATGTTCTTAAAGCTTTAATTCCCACAGACATCAGCACTCTGTGCAGCAGCGAAGATGAAGGATTTACTATGAACGAAACTGGTGTTTGGAGACAAGTACATTTTATGCAGGATTAAGTATTACACTAAATACTCTCCCTTAAATATACATTAATATATGCAGGATGGGGGAAGAACCACTCCCAACGCATCCCCCCTGCTCTCAAATGAAAACCCCAAGTCCCTCAAAACCGGAGTGTATGCCTTCAAAGGAACACAGTTCCTCTGCAGCTAACGGAGACATTCTGCAAACTATTTATGCCGAAAACACCAGAATGAATACATTCAAAGTCTATCCCGTTTTTACACTGCCTCATCCTGTAGGTGCACTTCAGTCCAAAGGCACTCAGTTCTCTAGATGCAAACCAATAGGCTAGAATATAACGTCCTGGACCTTCAAAAGAAGTCTATAATCATTCTGTTCATACAAGTATATTCTAAAAATACTACTAAATTAAACTAATCTCAGACCTACATATACTGTAAATGACAATGACCATTTGTTCAAAGTTTGGACTAATTTAAAAATATAGGTACCTATGACATTGTATGTCTATATATATGCATGTATATGTGTATTTATACATAAAGTCATATAATGAACACACAGGATGACAGTACATGTATTTATGGACAAGCATACATTTTTAGGCTTGAACTCAAAACTGTGTATATACATAACCCTCTTCATAAAGGTATGTAAAAAAACAATCCACTGGAAGCATTAGTTATTTATTACACATTCTGTTTCTTACCCTCTCCTCTATTATAGGAAGTGAAAGATCAATGAAAGGTTCTTTTACTGTTGAAATCTTGAAGAAAAAGAGAAAATGCATATTAAATGCAAAGAACAATATACGGGTTTAGCACATAGCTCCCGTTTTAAATCAAATTATTATCAGAAACTATACAAAAAGCTAATTAGTTACAAGATCTATCAAACTACAATGAAGAACTTCCCAAAAACATTTTTCCTATTTTTTTTTTATTTTGAGTTAGCTCAGATTTTCTCTCTAGCACTGCACAAAATTGCAGCATACAGATGTAAAGGGGAAGGTCATTCATCTGGGCACGACCTAGACCTAGAAGCAGTGTGGTGCTCAGTTTCTCTGAGCTCCAGCCAGATTTTCAAGGCATGTGGGCCTTCTAGATGGTACAATTCTGCAGAAAGCTAACTTTCCTGATCCTGGACGCTTTTGCGCAGGCGTTTGACCTCGTACACTGTTAAGCAGCAAGGACTGGTTAATGACAGTTAGATGACAGGTTCTAACCTGATGCTCTCAGAAAAGACTAAGTCAAGCTTACTGGTTACAGCCAAAAGCTTTATTAGAAATTTTCACACCATAACATATACTAGTAATTGTTAAAATAAATCCAATTACTGGGGAAAAGGGGATTGAAAAAAAACCACCCTTCTTTTCTTTACTGGAGTTTTATTTTGCCATCTATAAACCATATAAAATCTAAGCTGAAACTGGAAATACCTGGCAAATGATACCTAAAGACATTCTCTCTCAGCACTTGCCATCTGCCTTTATGGCTAGAACATCCCTTCCAAGCCTGTTCCTTAAGCTCTCTCCCTTGCCGTTCTCAAATTCCTTCCAAAACTGACTTATCTTACCTCTGGAAAGACTGTGAAAAACAAGGCCTTAAAAAAACATAGAAATCATGTTGTACGTGTAAGTTACTGAACACAGTCACACCCTCAATTACTGTCATCCTTGCCCTTCTCTTACATTTGTGACCCTATCTTCCACCTGCAACATTTGATACGGACCGTAGGCTTATTTTTACCTGCTGTGCGAGGGACTCAGCGTGGTTTAGGTTCCAGTAAAGCAATAAATGAGATGAAACCTATTGTAACTATGAGGACAGACTGCCTGATGAGCGATGTTCAAACAGGGGTTCCTCTAAAGAGTGAGTTTGCATGAACAAACATTGGTCAAAAATATCTTTGCCAATGCAGGCAAAGGAAAGCGAACGCTAAACTCCTCCTCAAAGGCCTACAGCTAGCAAAGTCCCGAGTCCTGTGCAGGCAGAATATAAGAATCCAGCAAAAATAAATGAGACACGCAAAACACATACAACCTCTATTTTGTATATCGTCGAAGTTCTTCATTGATACAAGTAGCACATTGAAGTGTAATCTGCACTTCACACACAGGGAAGTTTACCTGGCACTGCAGGACTGTGCTTAATTATTCAAACTGATTGATTTACTTAATCTCTATAATATGAAATATAATGTTTTAAACCAAACACAAATGTAACATTCAATTAGAAAAGTCATGCAAATAAGATTTTTTCACTTCCAAAGTTAAAGAAAATTATAAGGATCATGGAAAGCATTTATGATGAAATGTCAGTAATATTAATTATGAAAGGAATATGCTGTTCATTAGAGTTATTACGTTAATTATCAAAAATACTTCAAGAAACAAAAAAGTAATTTTAGCATTTCCCCACTCATACTAATTCAAAGTAAGTAATTCCCAATTTTCAGGTATATCCCAGAAGAGTAGGCAGGAGGATTTACGTTTTAAGATAGGTAGGTGTTTTAAAAAAATCAAATAGAATTGGGGTGTAACACAGATGATTACAGAATTTGGAACCTCCAGCCTTAAGTTAGATGCAAAATCAAGCCCAGACCTTGAATCCTTTTTGAATTCAAAGGACCCCTCTTCTTAGGTTTGGGAGGATAATGCTTTAAAGAAGGGATTAATCATTTTAAATGAGAAACTTTCAATAAAGTCTTGTTTTTACAAACAAACAAACAAGTATAAAATTGGCAATACAATTTTATACTTTCAAGACAATGTAATCAAACCAGTATGTGATCTATTCCACATCAAACCAAATTCCAGAATACCTACATTTTCACATTCCTCACACATGACAGTGCTAGTCAATTCACCAACAAAGATCCTATCTATGAAGTTCATCTTCACACCCTCTCTTCCATACGCTGAAAAAACATTGCCTTTTTTAAATGTGAAAAATAACAGATCCAATGCCACACTATAAGTAC